AAATCCCCCAAAATGCCCACAAATCTCCCCCAAACCCCTCAGGTGCCCCCAGGTGCCCCCAGGTGAGCTCCCAGGTGTGTTCCAGGTGCTCTGCCGATGGAGGAGCTGCTCCAAATCCCCCTTAACCCCCAAATAACCCCTCAAATCCCCCAAATCCTCAAATCCCCCCAAATTCCCCCAAATCTCCCCAGATCCTCCCAAATCCTCCCCAAACCCCCCCAGGTGCCCCCAGGTGACCCCAGGTGTGTTCCAGGTGCTCTGCCGATGGAGGAGCTGCTCCAAATCCCCCTAAACCCCCAAATCACCCCAAAATCCCCAAATCCCCCAAATCCCCCAAATGCCCTCAAATCCCCCAAGTCCCCCAGGTGACCCCCAGGTGTGTTTCAGGTGCTCTGCCGATGGGAGGAGCTGCTCCAAATCCCCCTAAACCCCTAAATAACCCAAAATCCCCCAAATCCCCCCCAAAGCCCCCAGGTGACCCCCAGGTGTGTTTCAGGTGCTCTGCCGATGGAGGAGCTGCTCCAGCGCTACGGCGGCGCCTTCGCCGACTCCGACTGCGACTCCGCCCCCGGCGCCAGCAGCACCCGCTCAGGTACCGCACCTGGGCACACCTGGGCACACCTGGGCACGCCTGGGCACACCTGGGCACGCCTGGGCACGCCTGGGCACACCTGGGCACGCCTGGGGGGGATTTGGGGTCACTTGAAGGGGTTTTGGGATCACCTCGAGGGGGTTTGGGGGGGTTTGGGGTTATGTGGGGGAGTTTTGAGGGTTTTGGGTCACCTGGGCATGCTTGGGCACACCTGGAGGGGGCTTGGGGTCACCTGAAAGGGTTTTGGGGTCCCCTGGGTGGGGTTTTGGGGTCACCTGGGCGAGCTTGGGGGTTACCTGGGTGGGGTTTGGGGTCACCTGGGCACACCTGGGCACACCTGGGGAGGGTTGGTCACCTGGGCATATCTGGGGGTTTGGGGTCACCTGGGCACACCTGGGGGGTTTTGGGTCACCTGGGCACGCCTGGGCACACCTGGGGGTTGGGAGCACCTGAAGGGGTTTTGGGGTCACCTGAAGGGGTTTTGGGGTCCCCTGGGTGGGGTTTTGGGGTCACCTGGGCACACCTGGGCATACCTGGGAGGAGTTGGGGTCACCTGAAGGGCTTTTGGGGGGGTTTGGGCTCACCTGGGGAGGTTTTTGGGTTTACCTTGGGGGAAGTTGGGGGTGTTTGGGGTCACCTGGGGGGGTTTTGGGGTTACCTGGGGAGGAATTTTGGGGTCACCTGTGAGCTCTGGCTTCCAGGTGTGGCCCCTCCCCCCTCTAAACCTCACCTGTAACCCCCCAACCCTCACCTGTGCCCCCTCCCCCAGAGTCCCCGGGGGGCGACAGCGAGGAGGACGAGGAGGAGGAGGAGGAGGACGAGGATGAGGAAGATGAAGACGAAGATGATGATGAGGAAGAGGAGGAGGAAGGAAGGAGGAGGAGGAGGAGGAGGGGAGGGGCAGGAGGAGGAGGGGAGGAGCAGAAGACCGCCCCTCCGCCCAGGTGGCCCCAGGAGGGGCGGGGCCGCCGATGGCCCCGCCCCGGCCCCGCCCGCCGGTGCAGGGGGAGGGGGCGGGGCTGGAGGAGGAGGCTCCGCCCCCAAGAAGGAGATCAGCGACATCGCCGCTGCTGCTGAGAGTCTGCAGCCCAAGGGGTACACCCTGGCCACCACACAGGTGAGGGGCACACCTGGGCACACCTGGGCACACCTGGGCACACCTGGGAACAGCTCAGATACACCTGGGAACACCTGGGTACACCTGGGTACACCTGGGAACACCTCCAGCCCAAGGGATACACCCTGGCCACCACACAGGTGAGGGGCACACCTGGGCACACCTGGGCACACCTGGGAACACCTGGGAACAGCTCAGATACACCTGGGCACACCTGGGCACACCTGGGAACAGCTCAGATACACCTGGGTACACCTGGGCACACCTGGGTACACCTGGGCACACCTCCAGCCCAAGGGGTACACCCTGGCCACCACACAGGTGAGGGGCACACCTGGGCACACCTGGGAACACCTGGGAACAGCTCAGATACACCTGGGCACACCTGGGCACACCTGGGCACACCTGGGAACAGCTCAGATACACCTGGGTACACCTGGGCACACCTGGGTACACCTGGGCACACCTCCAGCCCAAGGGGTACACCCTGGCCACCACACAGGTGAGGGGCACACCTGGGCACACCTGGGCACACCTGGGTACAGCTCAGATACACCTGGATCCATGGGGACACACCTGGGCACACCTGGGCACACCTGGGAACACCTGGGAACACCTGGGAACAGCTCAGATACACCTGGGCACACCTGGGTACACCTGGGCACACCTGGGAACACCTGGGTACACCTGGGAACACCTGGGTACACCTGGGTACACCTGGGCACACCTCCAGCCCAAGGGGTACACCCTGGCCACCATACAGGTGAGGGGCACACCTGGGCACACCTGGGTACACCTGGGTACAGCTCAGATACACCTGGATCCATGGGGACACACCTGGGCACACCTGGGTACACCTGGGCACACCTGGGAACACCTGGGTACACCTGGGAACAGCTCAGGTACACCTGGGTACACCTGGGCACACCTGGGTACACCTGGGAACAGCTCAGATACACCTGGGCACACCTGGGCACACCTGTTACACCTCAGATACACCTGGGTACACCTCCAGCCCAAGGGGTACACCCTGGCCACCACACAGGTGAGGGGTACACCTGGGCACACCTGGGTACACCTGGGTACACCTCCAGCCCAAGGGGTACACCCTGGCCACCATACAGGTGAGGGGCGCACCTGGGCACACCTGGGTACACCTGGGTACAGCTCAGATACACCTGGATCCATGGGGACACACCTGGGCACACCTGGGTACACCTGGGCACACCTGGGAACACCTGGGTACACCTGGGAACAGCTCAGGCACACCTGGGTACACCTGGGCACACCTGGGTACACCTGGGAACACCTGGGTACACCTGGGAACAGCTCAGATACACCTGGGCACACCTGGGCACACCTGGGAACAGCTCAGATACACCTGGGTACACCTCCAGCCCAAGGGGTACACCCTGGCCACCACACAGGTGAGGGGTACACCTGGGCACACCTGGGCACAGCTGGGCACACCTGGATCCATTGGGATCCATTGACATTCGTAGGGAGTTATAGGGACTCATTTACAGGGTTGGGGATGGATCACCTGTGGGGTCACCTGGGGGCCACGTGGGACACACCTGGGACACACCTGGATCCATTGACATCCCTAGGGATCCATGGGGACTCATTTACAGGATGGAGAGTGGATCATCTGTGGGGTCACCTGGGGAGTCTGGGGGTCACCTGGGGGGTCTGGGGGTCACCTGGGACACACCTGGATCCATTGACATCCATAGGGATCCACAGGGACTCATTTACAGGGTTGGGGATGGATCACCTGGGGGGTCACCTGGGGGTCACCTGGGGGTCACCTGGGGGTCACCTGAGGACCCCAAGTCTCACCTGTGGGCCTCACCTGGTGCAGGTGAAGACGCCCATCCCCCACCTGCTGCGGGGCACGCTGAGGGAGTACCAGGGGGGTCACCTGGGGGATTTTGAGTGGGGTCACCTGGGGGGTCTGGGGGTGAGCTGAGGACCCCAAGTCTCACCTGGGGGTCTCACCTGGTGCAGGTGAAGACGCCCATCCCCCACCTGCTGCGGGGCACGCTCAGGGAGTACCAGCACATCGGGCTGGACTGGCTGGTGACCATGTACGAGAAGAAGCTGAACGGGATCCTGGCCGACGAGATGGGGCTGGGCAAGACCATCCAGACCATCTCCCTGCTGGCACACCTGGCCTGCGAGAAAGGTGGGCACACCTGGGGGGGAGAGAACCCCGGGGAAAGGGGAGAAAACCCCGAGGAGAGGGGGAAATCTGGGAAAAAATGGGGTGGAAAGGGTTAAAAATGGGTGAGAGACCCCCCAAAAAGGTGCTGGGAGACACCTGGGGGTCACCTGAGCACAACTGGGAGGAGAAAACCCTGAAAAAATGGGGAAAAACCTCAAAAAAAAGGTGAAATTTGAGAAAAAAGAAGTGAAATCTGGGAAAAAATGGGGTGGAAAGGGTTAAAAATGGGTGAGAGACCCCCCAAAAAGGTGCTGGGGGTCATCTGAGCACCTTGAGGACCCACCTGGGCACCTTTAGGTGACACCTGAGCACCTTCGGGTGACACCTGGGCACCTTTAGGGTTCATGGGGGGTGTCCATGACTCACCTGAGCACCTTCAGGACACACCTGGGCAGGTTTTGGGGTGTCCAGGACTCACCTGAGACCCACCTGGGCATCTTGAGGACCCACCTGGGCACCTTTAGATGATACCTGGGCAGGTTTTGGGGTGTCCAGAACCCACCTGAGACCCACCTGGGCACCTTTAGGTGACACCTGAGCACCTTTAGGTGCCACCTGGGCACCTTCAGGACACACCTGGGCACCTTTAGGGTTCGTGGGGAGTGTCCAGGACCCACCTGAGCACCTTTAGGTGACACCTGAGCACCTTCAGGGTTCGTGAGGGGTGTCCAGGAGCCACCTGAGACCCACCTGGGCACCTTTTTGGGGTCTCCAGGACCCACCTGGGCACCTTTAGGTGACACCTGGGCAGGTTTTGAGGTCTCCAGGACCCACCTGGGCTCTTTAGGTGACACCTGAGCACCTTTAAGGTTCATGGGGGGTGTCCAGGAGCCACCTGAGACCCACCTGGGCACCTTTAGGTGCCACCTGAGCACCTTCAGGGCACACCTGGGCACCTTTAGGTGACACCTGAGCACCTTTAAGGTTCATGGGGGGTGTCCAGGAGCCACCTGAGACCCACCTGGGCACCTTTAGGTGCCACCTGAGCACCTTCAGGGCACACCTGGGCACCTTTAGGTGACACCTGAGCACCTTTAAGGTTCATGGGGGGTGTCCAGGAGCCACCTGAGTCCCACCTGGGCACCTTTAGGTGCCACCTGGGCACCTTCAGGATCCACCTGGGCACCTTTAGGTGACACCTGAGGCCCTTTAGGTGCCACCTGGGCAGGTTTTGGGGTGTCCAGGACTCACCTGGGCAGGTTTTGGGCAGGTTGGGGGTCTCAGGTGTGCCCCTGTGCCCTGGACAGGTAGCTGGGGCCCTCACCTGATCATCGTGCCCACGTCGGTGATGCTGAACTGGGAGATGGAGCTCGGGGGAAGGGGGGGGTGGGGACTCACCTGGGCAGGTTTTGGGCAGGTTGAGGGTCTCAGGTGTACCTGTTTGCCCTGGACAGGTAGCTGGGGCCCTCACCTGATCATCGTGCCCACGTCGGTGATGCTGAACTGGGAGATGGAGCTCTGGGAATGGGGGGGTTGGGGACTCACCTGGGCAGGTTTTGGGCAGGTTGGGGGTCTCAGGTGTGCCCCTGTGCCCTGGACAGGTAGCTGGGGCCCTCACCTGATCATCGTGCCCACGTCGGTGATGCTGAACTGGGAGATGGAGCTCTGGGAATGGGGGGGTTGGGGACTCACCTGGGCAGGTTTTGGGGACATTTAGGGACTCAGGTGTACCTGTTTGCCCTGGACAGGTAGCTGGGGCCCTCACCTGATCATCGTGCCCACGTCGGTGATGCTGAACTGGGAGATGGAGCTCAAGCGCTGGTGTCCCAGCTTCAAGATCCTCACCTACTACGGCGCCCAGAAGGAGCGGCGGCTCAAGAGACAGGTGAGAGCCTCACCTGGGGGGGGTGGGACGCACCTGGGGCACACCTGGATCTGTAGGGACACACCTGGGACACACCTGGATCCATAGGGACACACCTGGGATACACCTGGAGGTGGTGGGAGATGGAGGGACACACCTGGGGCACACCTGGATTTGTAGGGACACACCTGGGACACACCTGGAGATGTTGGGAGTTACCTGGGACACACCTGGGATACACCTGGAGGTGGTGGGAGATGGAAGGAGTCACCTGGGACACACCTGGGATACACCTGGATTTGTAGGGACACACCTGGGACACACCTGGAGATGTTGGGAGTTACCTGGGACACACCTGGGATACACCTGGAGGTGGTAGGAGATGGAGGGACAACACCTGGGACACACCTGGGACACACCTGGATCCATTGGGATCTATAAGGACACACCTGGGACACACCTGGGATGTACCTGGAGGTGGTGGGAAATGGGAGAGACACACCTGGGACACACCTGGGACACACCTGGGACACACCTGGATCCATTGGGATCTATAGGGAGACACCTGGGATGTACCTGGAGATGGTGGGAGATGGAGGGAGTTACTTGGGACACACCTGGGACACACCTGGGACACACCTGGAGATGTTGGGTGATGGAGGGAGTTAACTGGGTCACACCTGGAGATGTTGGGGTCTCGAAAGGCTCATCTGGGACACACCTGGGATGCACCTGGAGGTGGTGAAAGATGCAGGGACACACCTGGGACACACCTGGGATGCACCTGGATCTGTAGGGACACACCTGGGACACACCTGGGAGGCACCTGGAGGCGGTGGGAGATGGAGGGACACACCTGGGACACACGTGGGACACACCTGGATCTATAGGAACACACCTGGGACACACCTGGGGATGTTGGGATCTTGAAGGGCTCACCTGGGACACACCCAGGACACACCTGGAGGCGGTGGGAGATGGAGAGAGTCACCTGAGACGCACCTGGATCCATTGGGATCTATAGGGAGACACCTGGGACACACCTGGGACACACCTGGAGATGGTGGGAGATGGAGGGAGTTACTTGGGACACACCTGGGACACACCTGAGACACACCTGGAGGTGGTGGGAGATGGAGGGAGTCACCTGGGACACACCTGGGACACACCTGAGACACACCTGGAGGTGGTGGGAGATGGAGGGAGTTACTTGGGACACACCTGGGACACACCTGGAACACACCTGGAGGTGGTGGGAGATGGAGGGAGTTACTTGGGACACACCTGGGACACACCTGGAACACACCTGGAGATGGTGGGAGATGGAGGGAGTCACCTGGGACACACCTGGATCCATAGGGACACACCTGGGACACACCTGGGGATGTTGGGATCTATAGGGAGACACCTGGGACACACCTGGAGGTGGTGGGAGATGGAGGGAGTCACCTGGGACACACCTGGAACACACCTGGAGATGGTGGGAGATGGAGGGAGTCACCTGGGACACACCTGGAACACACCTGGAGATGGTGGGAGATGGAGGGAGTTACTTGGGACACACCTGGGACACACCTGGAACACACCTGGAGATGGTGGGAGATGGAGGGAGTTACTTGGGACACACCTGGGACACACCTGGAACACACCTGGAGATGTTGGGATCTATAGGGAGACACCTGGGACACACCTGGAGGTGGTGTGAGAGGGATGGAGTCACCTGGGACACACCTGGAACACACCTGGATCCATAGGGACATATCTGAGACACACCTGGAGGTGGTGGGAAATGGGAGAGACACACCTGGGACACACCTGGATCCATAGGGACACACCTGGGACACACCTGGGGATGTTGGGATCTATAGGGAGACACCTGGGACACACCTGGGACACACCTGGAGATGTTGGGTGATGGAAGGAGTCACCTGGGACACACCTGGGACACACCTGGATCCATAGGGACACACCTGGGACACACCTGGGGATGTTGGGATCTATAGGGAGACACCTGGGACACACCTGGGACACACCTGGAGGTGGTGGGAGAGGGATGGAGTCACCTGGGACACACCTGGATCCATAGGGACACACCTGGGACACACCTGGAGGTGGTGGGAGAGGGATGGAGTCACCTGGGACACACCTGGGACACACCTGGGACACACCTGGATCTAAAGGGACACACCTGGGGTACACCTGGGATGAACCTGGAGATGTTGGGAGAAGGAAGGAGTCACCTGGGACACACCTGGGATACACCTGGATCTGTAGGGGCACACCTGGAACACACCTGGGACACACCTGGATTTGTAGGGACACACCTGGGCCACACCTGGATCCATTGACATCCATAGGGATCCATAGGGACTCACCTGGGGGATTCCAAGTGGGGTCACCTGAGGGATCTGGGGGTCACCTGGGACACACCTGGGAGACACCTGGGACACACCTGGATCCATTGACATCCATAGGGATGCATAGGGACTCACCTGGGGGATTATAGGAGTGTCACCTGTAGGGTGTCACCTCTTCACCTGGGGGGTCAGGGGGTCACCTGAGGGGTCTGGGGGTCACCTGGGGGTCACGTGTGACTCACCTGGGACACACCTGGATCCATTGACATCCAGAGGGATCCATAGGGACTCATTTGGGGGATTTTGAGTGGGGTCACCTGGGGGGTCTGGGGGTCACCTGAGGGGTCTGGGGGGTCACCTGAGGATGACCTGGGTGGTCTGGGGGTCACCTGGGGGTCACCTGGGGGTCACCTGGGGGTCACCTGGGCCTCACCTGTCAGGGGTGGACGAAGCCGAACGCGTTCCACGTGTGCATCACGTCCTACAAGCTGGTCCTGCAGGACCACCTGGGGGGCACCTGGGGGGGCTGGGGTCACCTGGGATACACCTGGGGCACACCTGGATCCATTGACATCCCTAGGGATCCATAGGGAGTCACCTGGGGAATTCCAAGTGGGGTCACCTGAGGGGTCTGGGGGTCACCTGGGGGTCACCTGGGACACACCTGGGACACACCTGGATCCATTGACATCCATAGGGATCCATAGGGACTCACCTGGGGGATTATAGGAGTGTCACCTGTAGGGTGTCACCTGTTCACCTGGGGGGTCTGGGGGTCACCTGTGACTCACCTGGGACACACCTGGATCCATTGACATCCATAGGGACTCACCTGGGGGATTTTGAGTGGGGTCACCTGGGGGGGTTGGGGGTCACCTGGGGGTCACCTGTGACTCACCTGGGGGGGCTGGGGGTCACCTGGGGGGGCTGGAGGTCACCTGGGGGTCACCTGTGACTCACCTGGGGGGGCTGGAGGTCACCTGGGGGGTCTGGAGGTCACCTGGGGGTCACCTGTGACTCACCTGTGGCCTCACCTGTCAGGGGTGGACGAAGCCAAACGCGTTCCACGTGTGCATCACGTCCTACAAGCTGGTCCTGCAGGACCACCTGGGGGTCACCTGGGTGGTCTGGGGGTCACCTGGGGGTCACCTGTGACTCACCTGGGCCTCACCTGTCAGGGGTGGACGAAGCCGAACGCGTTCCACGTGTGCATCACGTCCTACAAGCTGGTCCTGCAGGACCACCTGGGGGCACCTGGGGGGCTGGGAGTCACCT